CTGCCCGCAGCGCGGCCCCGCGGCCGGCCGACCCCCCCCGGCCCCTCGCTCCGCCCGCCAGCTCCGCCCCCCAGGCCCCACACCGCCCTCCAGCCAGGGGAGAAGGGGGGTGCCTTTGCAACTCCCCCCCCCCCCCCTTGACCCCCACAGCGCCCATCGGGACTCCAGCAGAGGTGTCCCCGGCGGGCGGCCAGGACCTCCCACCCCAGCAAGAAGGATGCGGGACTGCCGGGGCCGAAGAGGGGCTTTGCCTGTCCCGTTCCTCCTCTCCCTCGCACACACATTTGGGATCCATTTCCTCCGCTGACCCGGGGAGCACCCGCCACCCACCTCATCCCCATCCCTCCTCCGGTCTCCAGCGGATCTTGCGGAAGGGGCGTTCTCCCCCCCCATCCCCAGCTGTGTCCCCTGGGTGGTCCCGGAATGGGAGACGGGGAGGGATCGGTGGACATCCATGCGCCGAGCTGGGGGGCCCCAGTGAGGGGGGACAGCCTCCAGGCGGGATGCAGCGCGGCTTGGCAGCCCGCGGCCCTGACAGGGATGGATTTGGCAGCAGGGTACCCCAGCACATCTTGGGGGGCTTGGCAGCGCGGCACATGGTCCTCCCCCCCGCCTCCAGCGCTGACTCCAGCTCCAGCCTGGAAACTTGTGCTCAGCCGGTCGTGACCATGAGGGTGTGAGTCAGGCTGAGGGACGCGCTCGGGGGGAAGGACACGCTAGCAGGACGAGCACGGCTGGCATAGGGACGGCAGGGACGCGGGTACTGTAATCCCCATCTTCCCCATGCCTCAGTTTCCCATCTGTACTCTGCATCCCACTGCCAGCCCAGAGACGAAGGGCAGGGTGGGCTGGGGGGAGCTGCCCATCCCAAACACTGCCCTTTCCATATCTGAACACCCCCCCCCAAAATGCAGCAGCCCCTCTCTAAAATATCCCTTTCTCACCACCCTCCACCCCACCACTCTGCTGTGCCCATCCGGCCTATGGCAGAGGTACCCCTGTGGGGATGTTCCAGCTGAGACAGGGGACAGATGGGAACAGCAGTCCTGCCTCCCATGACAGCCAGTTTAGGGGATGGGGAAGGCTGGGGGACCTGATCCTGCTCACAGCACCAAATAGGCAGGGAAAGCCTGTCCATGCACACCCTACAACCCTATCCCCCCCCCCCCCATAATTACAACCCTCATTAATCAGGCTCATTACTGCCCACAATGAAAGCCCCAGTAGAGATGATTGTCCCCACCCCCCCATAAATCACCCCCTCCCATTCACTGCCGTGACAAGCCTGGGCCCCTCAGAAGGGCAGAGACAAGGGTCATGCAAGAGGGATACTGCCCGTGGGCATCTTTTAGGGATCGTTTTCTCAGCAGAGGTGCACCAACAGGGCACGTAGCCCAGTCCCCCCCATGGGTGCCAGTGACGTGGGCACATACCCCAGGTGAAGGCCAGCTTTGTTAGGAATCCTCTGTGTCCCCCCCGTCCCAGCATCTCCATGTCCCCAAGGCCCCCACACCAGCTTCCATCAGGATTATCCCCGTACTGCCCTTGCGTGCACAGGGGACATGCACACCTCACACACACACAACCCCACGTACACCCCAGGGCACATTCATCTGCGTCACACATACAGCCCATGTCAGGCATGTGCAGGTACCCATGTCTGTGCATGGGTAGGGCTGGGGGACACCCCTCTAACAGGGTTCTGCACAGCTACTGCACCCAGCACACAGGCACCCATGCCGGGACATGCACCCCATGGCACCTCCCCAGGGACCTGCTGTGCACTCACGCTTGTGCCAGCTGCTACACAGTCTCACCCCAGCCACATCTGCATGCTCATGAACACATGCACAGGCACACGTGTGTTACACACCCCCGTGAGTCCCTGTTCTCACTCCCGCATCAGGGACACATGGGCACAGGGATGGACCTGGCACCACACAACAGCCAGCCCACACCTCACCAGTGCCCCTCACCTCCCCTGTGCCCCCAGCAGCTCACCGTCCTGTGTTCCTGGCACCCGCTGGGGTCCCTGAGCAGCCAGGGGCCTCTCTGTCCTCCAGGCTCCAAGCTGGGTCCCTGGCCTGTCACCACCCTGCAGTGACACTCCCCCCGGCACTGCCCAGCGGTGGTTTTGGCACCTGCTTTGCTGGCACAGTGCAGCCGGAGCGGCCCATGCCACCCTGCCACGCACAGGGCAGCTTCCCAAAGGTTAAGGAACCAAGTGAGGGTGGCGCAGAGGGAGCCCAGCACCCTCCACCAGCTTCTCCCCTCCTTGCCTCAGTTTCCCTGGCACAGGTGGCAGGGCAGGATGGGTCCCCATGGTGGGCACTGCAGGAGCACAGGGATCTGTCCCACTGTGGGGCAGTCCCCTGCCACAGGGATCCCACATACAAGAGGTGCTGATGGGCACAGAGATGCCCCTCATTGGGTGCTTACGGGCATGGGGATCCCATATGCCGGGCACATTTTTGGGCACAGGGATCTCACACAGACTGAGCACTTCACAGGCATAGAGGTCCCCGGTGCCTGGTGCTTATGGACAGAGGGATCCCCCAGGCTGGGCTCTTTATGGACACAGGGATCTCTCATGCCAGGTGCTTTATTAGTACACAAATCCCCTCAGACTGGGCACACGGGTGCCTCATTGTGGGTGCCACAGCACGGGGACACCCCCACCTCTCCGCTTACTGTGTAAGGGCACAGAGATCCCAGCAGATCCCTTTGCATGAACCACTGTACAGCGATCCCAGTGGATCCCCTCCAGCCAGGCACTGCAGGGGCCCGCAGGTGCAGGTTTGCAGGGAGTGGGGGTCCCAGTGACACACTGAGGGGAACACAAGGAGGGACAAAGAACATGCCCGGCACCCTGGCATGCACAGGCACGGTTTAACCCCCCCACTGCCCGCAGCAGGCAGGGCCAGCTCCAGCCTCTACCCCAACCCCCCGCACACCCGGAGCTCACCCCATCTCCGTGCCCCCCATGCAGACCCTAACCGTAACGCCGTGTCCGGCGGTGCCCGCTTACCTCCCGGTGGCGGCAGGCGCGGAGGGGCAGGAGGCAGGACACCAAGGACTTCCCCCAGCTGACCAAGGTGGCAAAGCACCAGCTCAGCCGGGTCATGGTGCCCCTGCCAGGGGTCACCCCGCGGGAGGGTGGGGGGGAGTGTGTGTGCAGCGGCCGACCCCCCCGGGCCACGCTCGGGGTGGCGGCCAAACCCAGCCGTGTCCCCCCCCCGGCCCGACTGCAACAAGCTCCGGTGCCCGGGCAGTGCCCAGAAGGTGCCCGGCGGTGGGCACGGGGCCGTGCGGCGATGGGCTGGGGGTCTGCGGTCCCACCGGGCCCTGTCCCCCCCTCCGGTCCCCCAGCGTCGCCTGCGCGCTGGCAGCCAGGCAGGGAGCACCGTGCCCGCCCATGTCCTGCAGTGCTTGGGTGGGAGCCAGCTCCGCCACGCTCCCCCTCCTCCTCCTCCCCCTCCTCCCCCCCCCGCACACGGGGCTCGGGGCTCGGAACCCTCCGGACTCACCAGCCTGCACTCCGGGGCACAGCATCCCCTGGGGTGGATGCCGGACAGTGCCCCCCTCTCCAGCCCCCTCTGTTTTGGGGTGGAGAAACCCAGACGCCTGTGTATTCTCCATTGCAGTTCAACCCTCAACCCCTATCCCGACCCTGCCTCAATTTCCCTCCGGCAGCTCATGCCTACCCCAAACTCTAAATGGCAGTGCCTGCACATGAACGGGGGTGGGGGGAGAGCTTCCCTGCCCCTCTGCCAGCCCCCTGGCATCCTACCAAGCCTCTCCCCTTCCCAGGAGCTTGAGGACACATTCAGGGACCCCCTTGACCTAGCCTGCCCCTCAGCGGGTGCCTGGCTGATGCATCATGCTGTGGGCACAGTGTTACCCAGGGGAACCCCTTACTGCAGGACACCCCTACATGGCCCTGGGCACCCCTACCCCACCATGGAGTTCATACAGGGCAGGGCGATGGGGTGCACCGGGGACCCCCTACACACACTCCACACATCCATTGGGGTTTTGCCAAAGGTGGTCTGGCAGCAGCCCCTCCATGTGCCCCTGTGATGCCACCATGATGCAGGGCAAGGATCCATCCCCATGGGGCAGCTGCCGGTGCCAAGCGTGGGCAGCGGCAGTGCCAGGCCTGGACACTAATTACATTTGCCTCGGGATGGCTCCTAACGAACGGCAGCACCAAAGAGGGGGGCAGGGAGTTTGGGGGTCCCACACACCTCATGGCTGTCCCCCAACCCTGCTTGGCACCCAGGGGCTGGCGGAGGACTTGGTGGGCAGGGGGTGCTCAGGTACAGCTCCCCCAGCCGAAGCACCAGGGAGGTGACATCACTGCTGGCTCCATGGTCCCTCACCCCCATTTAATTAGCAGATGGCCCCTGCCCCCCCCGGCTGGGCATCACCAGGCCTGTGCAGGGCCATTAGCTTTATTTGCTGCACTGAACCAGGGCCAGGCCTCATTAATTGAATTGCACCCGCGCCAAGGACAGGCAGGCATCTTATCCCCCCAGCAGCCCCCACCACCACCCCAGCCCTTGGATGGAGCAGGGACAGGGGACCCCACTGCCAGGCTGTTGTGTCACGGTCCTGCTGGTGGGGTGCCTGGTGTGGGGCAGACAGAGCTGGCAGGTGGGTGCACCCACGGGCAGACACGTGTGTGTGCGTACACACACAGGTGCCCTGTTTAGCCTCATGCCCACTACATGCATATGGCTTGCATGTACACATGCACCCCTATAGCCTGCACATACATGCAGTCACACACATGCACGCACACATATATGCATCCCCCCCTGCCCCCAGCACAGTGTTGTGATGCTCTGCTCCCCCCCGAACACCCTGTCCACCCCCCCCCCCCCCGATCCAATGTGGGGTGCTGAGCTCATGGAGCTCACAGCACCATGCATTGAAGGATGGCATGGGCAAAAGAGGGCGCTGAGGAGACTGGGGTCACCCCAAGCACTGCCACCAGCTCCCTCCATGCCCTTGGCTATTCAGGGGCACCCCACAGCCCAACACCCCCCTCTCCAGGCACCAGGAGGATGCGGGGAGGCCCAGGCTCCCACTCAGCATCACTTCCTACTTTCACTTTGGTGCCGAGCATCGGCCTTGCCTGGGGGAGTCGAGTGTCCCCCAGGCCCTCATTACACAGGTAGGTGCTGCAAGGTGGGGTATGGTGGGGGGCAAGATGTGGGGGCAGCTGGGCATCACTGGAGGCATCCACCAAACAGGATGGTGGTGGGGAGCAGAATGGTAGTGAGTCCCCATGCCCGGCACTAGTGGGGTGAGCTGGCATCACCCCTGTCCACCTCGTCCCCGGGGGTTTAGTTCCCAGCCCAGAAGGAGCCCATAGGACAGGGCTGGCACAGCAAAGTGGGACAGGCACAGTAGTGGAGGGGTACTGTGGGGCTGAGGACCCGCAGGCACATATAGCAAGGGGAGGCAGGGAGTCTTGCCCAGGGTACCTCAGGAAAAGTTTGCAGCTGAGCTCTGGGCACAGCTCCCATGTCGGGGCAGATGGCTGGGGGTCTGTGGGCCTTGATGGGGTGGGCTGCAGCTCGTCATGGTGGTCGTCCTCTGTGCCAGGATCTGCTGCCACCCCAGGGCTGCTGTTGGTTGCTGTTAGCTGGGTATGGGGCCTGGATCCCCCTCCCCAAAACTGCAGGGTGTCCCTCAAAGCATTCCCAAGCCCCATTCCCAGGGGAGGGCATCAGGGTCCCCCCAAGCCTTGCACTGCATCCCAGAAGGGATATAAGCAACGGCTGCACAGGGGGACCAGCCTCACTGACCCCCTTCCCAAAGCTGGCACCCACTAATGAGGGAGCTGGGTGCCATGGGCCAAGCTGCAGTGCCTGATGTGATGTGAGGCAGGAGGGGGGTGGCTCCTGCAGCCCCCCCTCCTCCCCCGACCTTCCACACTTCCTCTTGGCCAAGGTACAAAAGGAGAAGCCGGCGGGCGCAGGGACACACCAGGGTCACCCCAGCACCCAGCAAGCACCTCGGGGCACCCCACAGCTCCTGGGCACAGGTAAGGGGCTCTTCCTCACAGGGACACTGAGGCAGGGGCAGGGGGGCAGGTTGGAAGATTGCTTGTCCAAGGTCACCCAAGGGCACCGGGATGGGAACCCAGGCAACTGGAATCTCCTGCTATGCCGTGGCAGGGACAAAGGACACTCGCACACTCTTGAGCATGCTTGGGCACGCTTCTGCACACACACTCCTGTGAGGGCACACACCCCCTGCAGCACAAACCCCCATGCACACACATGTATGCTCCCCCAGCCCTGTGCCCAGCCACCACCTGCAGTGTCAAGCCCCAGACCTGCCACCTCCATGGGCACTGTCTCTAGCCCTGTCTCCAGGGTGCCACCCCTCAAAACCACCCCACTGCGCTGTGCCCCCCACAGCACTCCAAACCCTGTGCCAGCCCCGCAGGCAGCATGCTGTGCCAAGGGGCTCTGCCCTGGGGAAGCTCAGTTTGGGAGGCTGCATGATGGGGGCTGTGTGCCCCCCTTTCCCACCCCACCCCCCAGGAGCCCCCATCGCTGGTTGCGGTGTGAGTGAGTGAATTGAGAGCAGAAACAAAGGCAGTGCTTCTCTAGCGCCAACCCATATCCTGAATCCTGGGAGGCCCCCCCAATGAATGGGAACAGAGGCTGGGCACAGTGTGGGACAGAGCCTGGAGGCATTTTGGGACAGGGCACATGGACAACTAAAGGGATACAGGATAGGGCACCTTTGCACACCCCATACCCCCTGCCCCATGTAAATGGAGGAGACAGGCAGGGAAAGGGGGTGCCTGAGCCCCCCCCTCTTACCTGAACAGTAAGGCAGCTCTGGGATGGAGCTGGAGGGACAGACCCTGTCCTTGGGGAAGAGTTTGGGGTGCCAGGTGACTGTCAGCCTGGAGCCTTTTATTGCTGCCCCTGCCTTTGCAGACCCCCAGGGACAGCCATGGCAGCGGATGGGGAACTCAACCGCATTATCAAGGACCTGCAAAGTAAGTGTGCCAGTCTGTCCCCTGCCAGCGTGTCCCCTGCCAGCCTGTCCCCTGCATGGCACATCTCACACTGACCATGCCAGGTCCCTCCTCACACCCAGACCATGGGCAGCACATGCCACTGCTGCCAGCCCTGGTGGGTGCCATTCCCTCCCCTGATCCCCCATTTCATCCCATGGCAGGTTCCTCTTTCACCCGCTGTCAGAAATCCCCGGGCCAGGAGCCAGGATGTGGTGGGAGGTGTGGGATGGAGCAGGGTGCCCGCTGCCTGGGCAAGGCACTGCCAGCTCAGCCCTGCCATCCCACAGGGACTGTGGCTGAACTGAACCACTGCTACAGGGAGCAGAACCTGCCAGTGACAGACGGGAGCCGGGAGCTGCACAGCCTCTGTGCCCAGCTGGAGTTCCTCCTCCAGGTACCTCCGCTCCCCTGCGCCCACTGCTCCCTGCCCTCAGTTTCCCCTGTGTCACAGCTGAGGGCAGAGGGGACCCTATGCTGGCTGTTCCATGGATTGGAATGATCCCAGCTGGCATTATCCAGCCCTGGGCATCCCCAGCCAGGCAAGCAATCAGACCAGGATCACCCACGTCCACATGTGTCCTCCTTGAAACAAGTCCAGAGGAGGGCCATGAGGATGATCAGGGGACTGTCGCACCTCCCGTATGAAGACAGGCTGAGAAAGTTGGGGCTGTTCAGCCTGGAGAAGAGAAGGCTGCGTGGAGACCTCATAGCAGCCTTCCAGTATCTGAAGGGGGCCCGTAAGGATGCTGGGGATGGACTATTCATTAAGGACTGTAGTGATAGGACAAGGGGTAACAGGTTAAAACTTAAACAGAGGAAGTTTAGATTGGATCTAAGGAAGAAGTTCTTTACTGTAAGGGTGGTGAGGCACCGGAATTGGTTGCCCAAGGAGGTTGTGAATGCTCCATCCCTGGCCGTGCTCAAGGCCAGGTTGGACAGAGCCTTGGGTGACATGGTTTAGTGTGAGGTGTCCCAGTCCATGGCAGAGGGACTGGAACTTGATAATCTTAAGGTCCTTTCCAACACAAACCATTCTATGATTCTATGTGTAATTGCACGTGCTGCAAAAGGGGAACTGAGGCACAGAGCCAGCCCAGAAGGGACAGCCAGAGGACACTGTCCTGGCTGGGGTAGCTGGCTGGATCCCAGCCCCACAGGTACAGACTGGGGGGATGGGGAACACCCCCAAACAAGCAAGCCCGAGCTTGTATCTCTGCCAGTTTGACCTCAAGGAAAAGAAGAGCTTCTTTGGGCAGCGCAAGGACTATTGGGACTTCTTGTGCCAGGGCCTGGCACAGCGCCGGCAGGAGCATGAGGGCATTCGCTTCGTCACCTCCCTGGACAAGGTGGGCACACACAAATGCGGCTGCCTCTTCTTGTTTGGGGGTGTACACACACTTGGGCACTGAGGATATAAGGAAGAAGTTCTTTACTGTGAGGGTGGTGAGGCACTGGAACAGGCTGCCCAAGGAAGCTGTGGCTGTTCCATCCCTGCCAGTGTTCAAGGCCAGGTTGGACAGGGCTTAGAGCAACCTGCTCTAGTGGAAGGTGTCCCTGCCAATGACAGAGGGGCTGGAACTGGATGATCCAAGGAAGGTCCTTTCCAACCCAAACCATTCAGTGATTCTATGATTCACATAGCAGTGCTACAAAGGGTTTTCTCCCCCCTGGGGTTCCCACTGCCCCCAGTGGGTGTCCTGGCCCTGGAGACCCTCTTCCTCCCTTCATGGGCTGTTGGGGGGGAGGCGTGTGGGGAGCAGACTGGCATGGCAGGGCTGGATGACCTCTTCTCTCCCCAGCTGAAGACCCCAGTGGGCAGGGGCCGAGCCTTCCTGCGGTACTGTCTGGTGCACCAGCAGCTGGCAGAGTCCCTGCAGCTCTGCCTTCTTGACCCTGAGAGCCTTCGGTGAGAGCAGGGGCATGGGGATGGGATGCTCATCGTGGCATCAGTCACAGCACCCGATTGTCAAGGGTGCTGCAGGCATGTGTGCCCCCTCAGGGTTACAAAGGGCTGCATGAGCCTGTTTGTGGTTGCAGTGAGTGGTACTACGCCCGCAGCCCCTTTCTGAGCCCCCAGCACCGGGCAGAGATCCTGGGCAGCCTGTACGAGCTGGACTGTGTCACCTTCCACCTGGCCCTGTGCAGAGATGACCTGGACACTGCCTGGCCCATGTTCTCTGAGTGAGCCTGGGGATGTGGAAGGCACCAGGGGCATTGGGGGTGACAGGGCCATGAGGGGTACCGGGACTGAGCATAGAAGAGCAGCACACAGGCCCATGTGGCACTGCAGCTGTACCAGCCCTCCATATGTGGCCATGGGTAGGAACAGACACCTGTGCCAGCATGCACACACCGTGCCTGTGCCTTCAAAGATGCCATGTGTGCATGCACAAACACACAGCAACTCTGGTCCCCTGTCACCAGGAGCCACCCGGTATAACCAGCCCTTCTGCCCTCTCCATCCCCAAAGGCTGGCTGTGCCCAGGGAGCCCTGAGGGAGGGAGGTCAGTGCCCTGCTCACCCTGAGGGTGACCTGGTGGACCTGAAACCCATGTCCCCTCTAGGACACTGGTACGACCCAGCTTGGTGACTGGGAGCAGCCTGGCAAAGACAGCCCCACAGGCAGATGATACTGACACCAGGATGCATGGATGGCCTGATGGCATCACCCATTTCACCACAGCACCCTGTAAGGTGCCAGCCTACCCGTGTTCACCCACCTTGGCTGCCCTGGGGGCAGGCAGTGTAGAGGTGGAGGATGTGGAAGGGAATGTGGAGGGCATGGAAGGGAAGAAGGATGTGGAAGAGGAAGATGAGGTGGAGAAGGATGAAGATGAGGAGGTGGAATGGGATGTGGATGTGACATTAGAGCAGGATGTGGAAGAGGAGGATGGAAAGGAATTTGAGGAGGATGAGAAGGAGGTGGAGGATGAGAAGGAGGTGATGGATGAGGAGGACGTGGAGGACGTGGAGGTAAATGTGAAGAAGGATGTGGAAGTAAAGGAGGATGTGGAAGAAGATGATGAAGCGGAGTTGGACAAGGATGAGGAGGAGATGGAAAACGTGGATGCAGAGGAGCTGGAGGACACACACAGCACTGGCAAAGCACCCCAGTCTGATGGCGACAGGGATTCCGGCGCATCACCACCACCCAGCACAGGGTGCGCGCTGGGCTCCCTGCCACCAGAGCCCAGGCAGCCGGGTGGGACAGAGGAGTCCCTGTGGGCACTGGTGTCCCAGCTGCGGGCTGAGCTGGAGCAGTGGAAGGCATCGTCCCAGGCTCTGGCAACGCGGCTGGCACGGGAGGAGAGGCGGCACAGGCGGCAGGAGGAGGGCAGCGCACGGCGGGCCCGGCTGCTGGCACGTGAGGCCGAGGCTCTGCGGGACACCAACACCTTCCTGGGACAGGCACTGGCGGCAGCGGTGGGAGCGGGGGGGTCGGGGGCGCTGGCACAAGCACAGGAGGAGGCACGGGTCTGGCGGGAGGTGGCAGAGGAGCAGGGCGCCCAGCTGGCCACGGCACAGGCAGAGGTTGCAGCGGTGTCCTCGCACCTGCGGGAATGCCAGGCGGCGCTGGCAGCAGTGGGACAAATGGACATGCCAAAGGATGCCGGTGCCCCAGATGAGGTGGCTGCCATGGAAGAGGTGCTGCAGCGGGCACTAGAGATCGCCTGTGGTCCCCAGGAGTCCCTGCCAGAACAACAAGCAGAGGGGGAGCCCAGCACAGCCATCAGCATGGCCATGGTATGGACAAGCCTGAGGGGACCCTGCAGGGACGAGGGGTTGGGGAGCCATGGCTGAGCCTCTCCTCTCCCACAGCGCTTGGCCACCCTGGCCGCAGCAGTGCGGGAGGAGGCCTGGCAGAGCCAGCAGCAGCTCCAGGCCAAGAGGCAAGAGGTGGCCCAGCTGCAGGAGCAGCTCAGCAGGTTGGGCATGGAACCCCTGCACCCACCACCCCATCTCCACCCATCATAGGCTTTCCCCTGCTACCCTCCATGATGCCACACTTGAACCCAGGGGAGCAGCCCCTGGGGATGGGCAGGGGAAGGAGGGAAGGATATGGGGAAGGAGGGCTGGAGGGAGGAGTCAATCTGGGGACTCATCGGTGGAAGGATGGAGTAATTCATTTGGGGCAAATAGATGGGCAAAGGGATGGAAGGGTGGATGGAGGGATGAATTTGGAGTGAATAAATTGATGTGTGGGTACACAGAGGGATGGAGGGATGAATGCGGGACAAGTGGATGGAGAAATGGAGGCGTGGATGGGCAGAAGTCCAGAGGGCAGATGAACAACTGGTAGATGTATGGATGGATGTCCCAGCAGATGGTAAGGTGGCTGTGGGGGTAGGGAGCCAGTTTGGGGATGGATGGGCAGCAGATAAAGGGAGAGAGAGAGGTATGAACGGATGGATGGAGAGACAGCCAGCTGAGGGACAGGGGCACCGTCTCCCCCCTGCTCTGCACCAGGGCCCGGCAGGATGGCGAGCGCTGGGCATCGGCTCTGCAGCGGGCGCAGCGAGAGGCTCTGGAGCGGGAGGCCACACGTGGTGCGGAGCAGGCACGGCAGCAGGAACTCATCCGGGACATGAAGGGGCGGCTGCTGGAGCTGCTGCGGTGAGAGCCCCGGGTAACCCACACGTGCGGAACCGTGCACGGGTAGGAGGCCCGAACAAACCCTTTTGCCCAGAGGAGGGCACCAGAGCTCAGGCGAATCCTGCTCACCACCTTGGGTCTGGGGTATCAGGGCATGTTTATGAACCCCCACCAGGCATGCTCCTGCCAGAGCTGACCTGTGCTCTCCCACAGGGAGAAGGATGCCCTGTGGCAGAAGACAGAGGGCATCAACACTGCAATGCCCAGCACAGCACCCCGCGATGCAGGGCTGTGCACCCACTGCCACAAGGATTTCCACCTCCTCTCCCGGCGGTACAACTGCAGGTGGGCAATCGGGGGGCACTGGAGGTGACACTGCCATGGCACAGCTCTCACTGCCTGCTCTCTCGGCAGGTTATGCCAGGGTAAGGTATGCCACGCATGTTCTGTGGACGTGGGCAAGCAGGGACGCTGCTGCCTGCTTTGCTACCAGCAAAGGCACTCACAGGCTGTATGAGTCAGGACTGCAACCCTCACACTGGGCCTGGGATACCCGCTGCCCTGACTGTCTCCTCTCCGACTTGCTGGGGACCAAAGTGCCCAGGGCCTGCAGGCAGGTCCGGCTGCCTGACTTCCCAGGTTGAGATGTGTCTTTCTTGTGGCTGGTCTGCACAGAAGAGAACAACACACTCCTGCTACCCCTGTGACTCCTGTGTTATCTATTGGTCGTCGACAGATGAATGAACAGCATGGAGGTGTCCAAGCTCTCCCAAGGGAGGACTATCCCCATAAGGGGCGTCCCAGCTGCAGCCAGGCTAAGTCGGCATCTGCCCCATCCCACACGGGGAAGCAGCAGTGGGCAGCGGACACAACTCTTGGCCAATAACCCTGGCTTCCTGCAATGCTGCAAGGAACCGCTTGGGCAAGCGTTTCCCAGGTACAAAGGTGATGGGCTGTCCCTGCCCTGCCCTGAATCCCCAGGGCTCCCCACGTGGGTGCTGGGGGGAACCCCATCCCCACCCGTGAGCCAGCATACAGCTGGCACCCACTGATGCTTCCACGGTTAAGGACCCCCAGGAGCCTGAATCAGGCACTATGGAGGAGCAGGACAGGACTCCTGTGCAGAGATGCTTGGGCACGCTGGTACAGGCATCCTAATGCCTGGTATACAGGGTGGCAGGGGTGACCCCAGTAGGGTCTCAGCCCTCTCTTCAGCCACTCTGCCCTACTCTGGTGCCAGCCCCAGTTGCCCAAGCCAGGGCAGAAACATCACGGTTGTGTAAGGTAGAAGTTCCCAGCCTTTTGCACAATGACGTCCTGTCACTGCAGCATCGGGGGGGTGGAGGGGAGCAGGGAGTGTTCCGGGTGCTGGCCCTCTTCAGGCAGGGGTCACAGGTCTGTCTTGGTCTCAGCAAGGGGCTGCCCAGGAACCTTGCAGTGATTTGCTTCACTGGGGCTCAGATCGGGATCAGTAAGGCAGAGGTTTTGTCCCCAGGTGGGACAAATGCTGCACAGAGACCCCTGCACCAGAGATGTGCCAGGACATGGCCGGGTGGCTGCAGGGATAGAGACCTCTGGGATCATGTAGGATGCTGAACCTACTGCAATAGCTTCTTGCGCGACAGCCCTTCCCCTGGCCTGGAAGTGGGGTTACCCACACCCCACCACGCTCAGCTGGCACCACTGCTTTGGCACTGAGGTGGGCAGCCCAGGACCCACCGTCCCCAGAGATGTGCTCTGGCCCCATCGCAGCACTTCCCTCCCTTTGGCAAAAGGGAGCCCGGTCTGGGTGACCAACCCACCAACTCCTTTATTGCTGGATGGCCATTGGCCGCAAACGCCATCCCCACTGCAAGGGCGCAGAATCCCAGAAGTCACAGGCTCCGCCCCTGAGCGGGCACAGTGGGCAGCGCTCGGCATCACTCCCCTGGCAGAGGGGTTGTACTGCCTCATTGCACAAGCCCCTTTCCAGCCAGGTTCCAGCATCCAGTGGTGGCCCTGCCCATCCCCATGGCATTGCCACCTGCATCTTGAGGGCTGTCTGCGAATGCTGGTGGATGTGAGGTGCTGGGAACTGCTGGGAGCCACGAGGGTTGGGCCCCAGCAGGGCTCAGAGGGTGGTGGAGGTGTTGCCAGAGGTGGAGGCGTAGGAGGCGCGGCCATAGCGGGTCACAGCATCCTTGCTGATGAGCCCACGCTGTGCCAAGATCTTGAGGAAGCTGTTGCGAAACTTCTGCCCGATAAAGGCGTAGATAATGGGGTTAATGCAGCTGTGGGAGAAGCCCAGGACCTGTGTGACGGAGAGGGCTGTGTCAATGCGATTCCTTCGCTCACAGGTCTCAGCGATGGCTTGTGTCCTCATGAGAGTGTCGCTCACCAGCGTGATGTTGTAAGGCAGCCAGCAGATGAGGAAGACCAGCACCACGGCAAAGATGACCCTCATGGCCCGCTGCTTCTGTGCATTCTTGGTCTGCAGGAGGGTGTGGATGGTGACACCATAGCAGAAGAGCATCACCAGGAGGGGCAGGGCAAAGCCGAAGGTCTGCGGCAGGACCCGCAGCACCACGCGCCACTTGGTTGTGTCCTCGTTGCCGATGCTCTCGTAGCACACGGTGCCATTGTTGGGAGAAGTGAAAGCTTCACGAAAGAGCAGCACAGGCAGGGAAAGCAGCACAGAGAAGACCCAGATGCCCAAGCAAACAAACTTCACCCAGTGCCTCTTCTCGGTGGCGGGCCGGGTGGCATAGACAATGGCCAGGTAGCGGTCCACACTAATGCAGGCCAGCAGCAGGATGCCACTGTAGAAGTTGGCCTCCTGCAGCACGGAGATGGCTTTGCACATCACGGTGCCAAAGACCCACTCGTGGGCTCGATAGGCAGCCCAGAGGGGCAGGCTGAAGGCAAAGAGCAGGTCTGCCACAGCGAGGTTGAGCAGGTAGACGTCGGTGACAGAGCGGCTGGTGTGGCTGGAGTTCACCACCAGCACCACCAGCCCGTTCCCCACCACGCTGAGGATGAAGACGAGGCAGTAGATCACCACCACCAGGTACTTGTTGAGAACGGAGGTGTCAGGCCGGCACGGGGCAGAGAAGATAGCAGTGTCGGGCATGGCCGTGCTGTAGTCATAGGTGTAGTTGTAGAAGGAGAGGAACTTGGATAAATCCCCACTGAAGGAGTACGATTCCATTTTGCCTGTGGAGCACAAAGCAGCACAAAGGGGAGGGGGAGCTGGTGTGGGCCAGTGGTGACAGTGTCTCCGGGTGCTCTTGGCATCCCTGTTGCCTGCCAGGTCCCCTCCCAGCCAGTGAGAAACCCCCCTCCATCATTCCACTATAACAATGATGTGCCAGGTAATGACACTGCAGGTGGACACTGTCCCTCATATGCCCACTTGTACAACACCCCCAGCACTCCCCAGACACCTCAACCCTGTCCTTTCCTTGTCTCCCATGGAAGAAGAGGTTCCCCCACAGACTGGCCACCTCTCCTTGGGTTTGGGGGGGTTCCATGCAGCCATCATGTCCTTCCAGGAATCACCTGGTCCCTCCAGCATCCCTGGATCCCCTGATTTGTGTAGGTCCTTCAAGACCCTCTGAGCTTTTTGGGCATCTCAAAAGTCCTTCAAGCACCTCTGGATCCCTCCAGCCTCTCCATCCCCTTGATCATCGCCGCTGCAGCTGCCCCTCCTGCCACCCCAGCTAGCAGCAAGACTGCGGTCACGGTGGCCAGAGCAGGCAGCACTTGAGAAGGTCTGAAGGTCGTTTCACACCCTTCTTCCACTTCCCCTGAATCCTGCCACAGCATGAGTAGTTTCACGACACAGACGGAAGGCCGTGTCACCCTTTGCAGGCAGCTTTGGAAATACTTCATGTCTCTGGTTTTCCTGTTCTCAGCTGGGTGGTGCTGTACGTGCCAGTGTCTCCTGCACTAAGCTGTGATGGGGAAATCACAGGTGAGAGTAGCTCTTCTTGTCTTCTCACGTAGGACATCCTGCTCTGTCCCTGCCTCCTCAAAGACCATTGAGTTTCAGCCTTCTCCCAGTATGGATCTGGGCTCACATTTCACTCTAGTTTCACCCATCTGCCCCATTTCTGAGCCCCCAAGCCCCTGCAGAGCTTGGCAATGCCAGTGCTGCTTGGGGGTGCTGAGTCTCCACAGTACTGGAGGGTCTCTGGTCCCAAGCTGGCCCTGTCTGAGCCCAAACCCTCCCTGGGACCACGTTTCTCCTTCTGCCCAGCAGAAATTCCCTGCTGCAGCTGGGCAGGTGCCCCTGCCCAGAAAAATCCCTGGCTCTGCCAGCCCCATTCCAATGGTGGTCCCAGGATGGTGATCCTGGGATGGTGATACCCCAACATCCCAGAGGACCACATCTGGGAACACTGCCAGTGACGATGGGGGAAGGTCCTCCCAAGCAGGACTGCTGCAGACGTGGGGTAGAACCGGACACCAGAGCTTCCCCTCAAGTTATTTTTGGCTGCTTCTTTCTGCCTCCCCACTCCAAAATCCCAGCGGTTCCTCTGGGACCAGGCACTCCCCACCCACAGATGCCCTGCAGATGGCCCAGCTGGGGGAACAAGCAGCACCCCATTTCCCTTCCTGACTCCAGAAGAGTTGGTGGGATGCTGGGGTGGCCTTGGGGGTCCCCAAAGGATTCGAGGAAGGAGAGATATGGCATAGGAAGGAGGGATATGGCATGGGGATGTGTTCTCCATGCGAGGAAATGGGAGCAGGCGCTTTACCCTGGGGCACGCATGGTTGATGTCCATGGGGACCATAGGGGTTCTGCAACCCAGATGAGCCCCAAGCACAGCCCTGGTGGCTCCCACCCACCACCTCCCGCTGCCCCACAGCAGGCAGCCCCTCAGGTAGCCAGAGCAGCCCACCCTGGCCCCCAGACCAGCCCACTCCACGTGTGAGGGATCTCAGCTGGGTGCTGGGGAGCCAACAAAGCCTGAGGACAGCCCCGGTCTCCAGTGGAGCACCCCAGGGACTCACCGCTTGCTGCCCTTGCTGTCCCCAAATCTGGGGTCTTCTCCTGGTCCCAAGCTAGTTCTCACTAGGAAACTCTGGGGCACGGGGTGAATCCAAGCGTCACCCCCAGAGGGCTCCGGCACTGAGGGTCACCAGGCCAGCCAGAGGGGCTCTCACCTGAGGCAGCTGCCGTGCAACCTCCTGGCACCCCTTCCTTCCACAGCACGCTTTATGCTGCTCGGGGAGGAAGCGAGGTTGCAAAAGCTTCACCCAGAGTGAAGGGGAAGTGGCAGACAGAAGGGACCCTTCTGCACCCCCTCAGGACACCCTCCCCAGCACCAGGGCTGGGGGGAGCCCGCAGCCCCCCTGCCACCCTCCTGTCCCAGGGTGTCCCAGGACCCCTGGCAGCGGGCGACACCAGGTTGCACCCAGAGGTGCATCACCCTCCTGCAGTGACGTACCCCGGGGGTCTCCAGCTGGGGGTCTCCACTTTGTCCCCTTGCCCGCAGTGAATGCAGGGCTCCCTTTCGAGCCTCCTCCAGGTGCTATAGCCCTCTCCCCCCCCCCCCCGGCCCCCGGGAGAGCAGAGCCCCCTGGGGCCGTGGGGCAGGCCAGCGGACAACGGCAGGGCAGGGCTCCGTGCCGTGGGTTCCTGGTACAGCGGAGGTTGGCGCCGACGTTTTGTGGGCACGGTGGAGCTGGCTTGCCCCTGTTGGAGAATGCTGCGGGAGATCCGCCAGGAGCGGAGCCCCATGCTCCTCCCGCCCTGTGCCGAGCCTAGCCCAGCCGAGCCGTACCGTCAGACGCAGCCGTGCCCCGGCACCAGCCCCGCGGACCCGATAAGACGCCCACCCCTGCGCCTCTGTAACCCTGGGGCACCCTCACTCCTCTGAGCACCTTACAGCCTTTAGGGACAACCTGCACCCAGCGGAGGCCCCCGGAGACCCTCGTTCCTCTGGGGCATCTCAGACCCTTGGGACATCCCCGTTGTCACGGCTGTGAAACGCTTGTCAGTCTTAGGGGAACCCCACTCTTCCCGGGGGACACCGCTACAGTTGTAGGGCACCGTTATACCCCTCGGGCGTCACCACAGAAGCCAGGATACTCCAATTTCCCGGGGACACCCACAAAATTTTGGGCACTCCCCCAGCTCCAGGGCACTCCCACAGCCCCCCTAGGGTGTCCTCGCTCTCTGGGGGCACCCCACGCTTTTGGGACCCCGTAACCCTAAAATCATGCAGTCCGCAGGACACCCCTCTCCCCTGTGAGCACCCCGATACCTCCAAATCTTGTGCGAACCCCAATACATTGAGGCACACCCACTACCACTACTTCTGGGGCACCCCTATATCCCTGGTGCAACCCCCACTTTTGGGGGTCCCCCCATACTTTAGGAGCACCTCATATTCCTGGGGAAACCCCACACTTCTGGAACCCCCTTAGCCCATGTGCACCCCACATCCCTCGGGTACCTCCGCACTTTTAGGGACACCCCCTGCCCCAGGCGAACCCCATACTTCTGCCCCCACAGCTGGGGACACCCCCACCCCCCGAAGCACCCCTCTTCCCCTGCCCCACCGCATCTGGGGGTCACCCGTTGTACCCTGCTCCCCCCCCCCGGGGGGAGAGGGGGGAGGGCATCCAGTGACGTCACGCGGAGGGGCGGGCACTTCCGCGCCACCGCCCGCCGGCCCCGCCGCGGCCGGACGTGACGCGCGGGCGCGGTAGCGGAAGCGGCGGCGCAGGCTCGGGCGGGTCCCCGGTGCGCGCAGCGGGCTCGGCTCCCTCCGGCCTCGGCTCCCTGAGAGCCCCTCCCTTCCCCGGCACCGACATGATCCTGCTCGAGGTCAACAACCGCATCATCGAAGAGACCCTCACGCTCAAGTTCGAGGGCGCGGCCGCCGGGTAGGAGTGAGAGGGGCCGGGCCGGGCCGGGCCTCACCGGGGCGGGGACGGGAGCGGCGGGGAGCGGGATGGGGCCTGAGGGGGGAGGGGCGGGGCGGGGTGGGGGGGACAGGGCTGTGCCAGGCGCCTGGGTAGAGGGGACGGCCCGGCGGGTGGCGGGGATGGTGGTGCCGGTGTAGGAAGGGGCCCGGCAGAGGATGGGGCTGATCGGGGCGAGGGGCGCCGAGGCAGGATGGGGGGGGGCGGGAGTGTGATGACAGGACAGGATGGAGGCCTGGAGAATGATGGGGGATGGCACTGAGGTAGGATGCGGACCTGGGAGAGAGGAGGACAGAGCTGGGACAGGGTGGGGGGCTGCGAGGTGGGAGGGATGGGAGGAGGGTTGGTACTGGAGGAAGGTGGTTTGGGTGAAGGCAACTAAGGGGGAGACCACGGCGTTGATCAGATCTTGGACAGAGGGGAGGCCTGGGGGCTGAGGAAGCGAGGTGGGATGGGCAGAATTGGAGGGGAGAGCAGATCTTGATGGGGTGGTTAGTGCTAGGGCAGTGAGGAGGTCCCGGGAAGGAAGAGGGAGCTGATGATTGCAGTGTTAGGAGGGCTGAGGGAGCAGAGCTGGGAAGGAGGGAGTTGGGAAGGGAGGGAAGATGGATTGTCAGGAATGTTTGGGTAAAGCAGCCTTCATCAGAACGGGCCCAGCATGGTGCCAGTGCTGGTACAGAATGTGTGTGGGGAGCTGAGGCACAGGAAGCCTTTGTGTGGAGTTGTGGTCTCAGCCTGTTGTTTTGGGGGTGGGGGGCAGATTCTGCCCTGTTGTCCTTTGCTTTCCTGAGATGCAGGTGAGAGATGCAGGCCCAAGGGTCAGCCATGGACCCTGGTGCAGGCCTAGTGGTGTCCTGGCCCCAAGGGGATGCGCTGGGAGGACTTATTTGTGCCTGCATCTGGGACACCTCAGTACCTGGGGAGCTAGTGATTATTTTGCTGAGTGTTGCACTGGGGCTGTAAAAGTGCTCATCTGAGCACAGCTTAGCCCAGAAGAGCATAGAATCACAGAACGGTTAGCATCCCTTTGTATAAATGTCCTTATCTGCAGTTGAGCTACCCAGGGGCTTGTTGCACTGCCTGCTGGCATGAGTAACGCTGGGCACTTTTGTATGGAGACAAAGCCTAGAGAAGCAAAGCCTGGTGCTGGTTATTTCTGGGGTGGAGCCAGCCCTGGTGCCTCAGAGAGCACAACTCCCAGAAGGGACCCCCTAGGGAGGTGCTTTTTTTCTGCATCACCTTTTTCTCCAGCAGCTTTCAATGCTCTCACCTTTTATGTGCAGTACTTTGATAGAGGCCATTTTCTCAGCTTTCCTCTCTCGGTGGACTTGTTGCACAGGGTTGGGTTTTTTGTTTGTTTTAGGGATCATTTATCTGCTTGCTTCATAAAATAACCTCGGAGACTGCACTGCCTTGCAGGGTAGCTGAGCTGCTCACAGGCATTTTCTTCTTCTTCAGCCTGATTGTTTAATGCAACAAGTTCTCCCAGAGCACAGGCATTGAACTGGGAAGAGAGAGCTCCTGGGTGACAGCTATGGTGTTGCAGCTGCATCCACTGGGAAATTATGTATGGAGGTTAATAGTGTGTGTCAAAAATGCTTGCCCATCACAAGTTCATACCAAAGCACTCCTCTTGCTGGATAGGGAGGCATGTGTATGTGTCCCTGTGTTGGTGTAAATGTGGAAGTGGCAGTATGCAGGTTTAAACACACCTTGAAACCCTGACTTGGTGTAACCAGAGCTGGGGTTGCTCACTCTGATCAACCTGCAGGCCCCTGAAGTTCCCTTTTCACTGTACAGCAGAGCCTCCTCATTTTGTGTTGGCATGCTTGCCTGGCAGCCAGACTGTTCCTGGATCAATTTGTAGTGCTCTGCTTCTGCCTCTTACTCATCTGTGGCATGTTCTTTTCTTCAGATGTCATTTCTAGATAAGTGCTGTGCTTTGAGTGTGTTGCTAGAAGAGAGGAAGTTATTTACTTCTGCATTTTCTTTTGTGCTCATTCTGTGGCCCTCTTGTCAAGGCAAGCGCAGGGCGGAGACAAGGGTCTGAGATGTGCAGGGAGGTGTATTTCTTCTTGGTTTCATGTCTTTTAGGGACTGAGTGTCATGGAATGTTTATTCATGTGAAATTTCTTTTCCGTCCAGTTCTGGGGTCATTCCCATGGTGCTGAACTTGGAGGCAGGAATATATTTCCTGTATTTCACTATTTTGGTGATGGTTTTCCTAAGGGACAGCATAGGACAGTCAGGGCAAGGTCTAGCCTTCAGGGGTTCCATGACTGGGAGGAGTGAGTGTGGACACTCAGCTGGTTTTGCATCATTTTCTCTAAACCAGGAGCGGAGCTGATGCAATGCACTATGCATTTGTCCTTATCTGTTGCCTTTGGAACCAGGTGTGCCTGGTGGCTTCAGCACCAGCCTGGGAGTTGGGCAGGGCAGGGTTTGTTTCCAAATCCTTTGCCAAAGACTTGTTGTTTGACTTGGGCTGTATCACTCCCTTCTGCTCCCCACAGGCACACATGGCTCCCTGCAGGGCTTTCCTGGGCCATCAGGTGAGAGACACTTTGTATGTCACTGTATCAGATAGAACTAGGTCACGTTTAGGAGAGACTGCCCATGACACTATTGTCCTGTATTGTATGTCAAAGTCCACTCTTCATAGAGGTCCATCAGCTGTCTCTGGTGTTCCCAATGTGGAAGTGCCTTGGCAGTGCTGCACACAGATCAGCACTTGAGGTAGGGCCTGACTCATATCCAAGAGTCCTCCCTTGACAAGGTCCTTGGATCTTGGCAGCATCCACCTGTAAAGAGGGTAATTCCAGATGCAGTTTGGTTTGGTGGGCAAAAACCCATGGAAATCTCTCCTTGGGCAGCTGCCATTGAACAGTGGTATTTAGATCAAGGTGGTGACAGGTAATGGACTCCAATACATCTTTTATTTATATATTTAATATTGTGATTTCTTGTTTTAAACCCATTTCCTTAAACCAACTACGTTTTAAAATGAAGGTCTAAAGCTGCCAGAACCTGTTGTAGTTATTTGAATTTTTGAGCGCCAGACTGCTGCAGTGGGGGAATACCTGGTCAGTATCTGAAACAAGTGTGTTGAAATGAAGCAGCTCATGAGCTTTTGTAGGTGTCAAGAGAATAAACTGTTCCATAAGCTTTGACTAATTCATTTGGACTTGAGAAGAAGCTGGAGTCACACTTGGGTTCTCCGATTTCTGATAGGGACATGATGTCAGGGGATGAGCTCCACCAATTGGAAGTTGTTGTTTCTCATCGTTTTTGCTAATTGCAAAAAACAACAAATAATTTAAGTATAAAACATTTTGATGATTTCTTTCAGTGTCTGGTGAGTACTCATTCTGTTTAACACATGGGGAGGAACTGCCTCCCAAAACAGATTCACTGCCCAGTTTTGTCCTGCTCTAATTTAAGTGACCCCAGTGGAAGTGTGGCACAGGGCTTTGTTCACGGGGTTTGGTTTTCCAGCCATCCATAGCTTGCCCTAAATCTCTGGTAAATTAATCATCTCTCTCAAACTGTTGCTTAGTATGTATCCACTGTGAAAAAGAAAACAAATTTGCATAGCTGGAGAACAGAGTGCCTTTTCCCTTGGATGGGGGTGGAAGGAAGAGAATCTCAAATCAATTTCTTTACAGCCCTTGGTAGGTACAAATCTGCAGGGCTTCATGACTGCATAGGAGACCAGCTTGACCTTCCCTGGTGCAGAGCAGTTCCTGTGTGCTGGTTGGAGAGCGGGGTTGAAGCTGCATCCGTATGCTTGATGGTATTTCCCATTTGTGGTTACTTTGGTGCTCGTTGACTGTAGAGCTGAGCCTTTCAGATGGAGAAGCTGAGCGCTGGGTGAAACCTGGTAGCGTGAACTTTGTGTTTGTGATGTGACATGTGGAGTGAGTTCGTTGTGAGGAGACTGAGGAGCATCTGGAGGCTGCTGGGCATGTTGGGAGGGTAGAGGAGCTTTGGGTCCTGATGGGCGCCACTGAAAAACATTCTGCGGGAGTGGCTGTGGCCATCTGTGGCTCTGGCACTTCAGGGGAGCTCAGCAACCCCATGGAAAACAGAGGTTTGCTCCTCTGCTGCTCCATCCTTCTTGCTGACGCAGCCACATTTTTGTGGCTTCAGGGGAAACAGCACTGGGGAAGTGACCTAGGTTAAAATTAAACAGTCAAAACTGGGTATTTTTAGCCCAGATGAGTTTCCTCATACCATTCATTGTGTGAAGGCTGCTCACCAGCAGCTGAGGAGCAGGGATCAGATCTCCTTCCTGCAGCAGCAGTGGCAGGTGCTGGCTCAGTGGTCTCACAAGCCTAGCCTGGAGCTACACGTCTGCCCCGGCATAACCTCCCCTGCTGAAACCCATTTGCCTGACACCAAGGCGTGCTGTGGTGATGCTGCCGACAGAAAGTAGTACTCTTGGGTTCAGCATGGCATGGGCAGCACCAGTGGTAGACCTTGGCTGTACGTGTTGACTGAGCATGTTTGAGCATAGCTCCTGTGCTGCCACAGTAATCTGGCTTCAGCCACCAGGGGAGATGACTTTGTGTTAATGGTGGATCATGAACCACCTCTGTCTGGAGCTAGGCAGTGCTCCACTTTTGAGCAATATTGCAGGGAACAGGAGGGAAGAGCAGCCCAGATCTGCAAAGTGTTAGGCTTCCACAGCTAGTTCTCTCATCACTCCAGCCTCAGTTTTCATCTCAGGTTCCTGAGAGGGGTCTGCTCCTTATTATCCTCTGAGAACAGTTCTTGCTGCAGTCACCTCTGCTTTGCACCAAAGAAAAGTGGGAATTGGTTGCTGTACTAAAGAAATGCAGTGAATGGTGTGCACAAAACAAGGCTCTTCCACAGAGGCCTGCCCCAGCATCAGATCACTGCAGCAGGGAACCATGGGCTACCTGCCTGCATCTGGAACTGAGATGTGTGGGGCAAAGACCTGGCTGGAAGCAGACCTGTCCAGACCTGTGCTGCGGGACTAGTCTGTGCTTTGTCCACTGGGAATTCCAGTGTTCCTTCCTACCAGCCAGCCTCCTCCAGGCTGCTGGGCACAAAGCAGAGGAGAAGCTTGGCCACGGAGGGGTCACAACCAAGAGGGGAGAGCTGGCACGTGTAGGGGCTGCCATACACAGCTCAGCATTGCCTGACTCCTGCTTGAGTGCGTGGTGGGTGTGCTGCCAGAGCTATGGGAGCTCTTTAGTTGCACACACTCCCGCAGCTTACGCAGAGTAGCTTTTGTTAGCTGAGCAGGCCCGGGGTGGAGGAACTGTTCAGATAATTTTAGACGTTGCTTATAATTTTCTTTCTTGGGGTGACCTTTCTGTAGCGGGAGCCTGCAGTCTGTCACTGAATCTGGCTTGCTCTCTCCACACTATGTGTCAACTCCGCTGATCTGAAAGCTCTGCTCAGAGCTTTAAGCTTTGAAGATGCTGCCTTTCCCCCTCCCCTCCTCTGGAGCAAGAGATTAGAATATCTATATGTCTGCAGCTTTTAAAATAATTGTCATTCACCCTTATTGGGTACAGGCCTTAATTGTAATGTGGGAGATGTTTCAGTACGATTGTTGGCCAAGTTTGCATTTAGGTCTGTTTAATACAGAACATGAGGGCTCTGCATAATTACAGTCTTCGTTCTTCTGGTCTTGTATTTCTTGTAGCATATGGCTAAGAGCCTCCATGGCCTGAGAATGAGGCAGGGAAGTTTGGAAGTTGTCCGAGTCAAAATTGAGGAAATGCTGTCAGGAGAAGACGATTTGCTGTTTACTTAAGTGCTCGCTGGCGCCCTTCCAAGGGCATTGTGACTTCTCATGAATGTTCTGCTGGGGTGAAAAATTTGATTTGGATCTGGCTCTGTATTAGCTAGATGGAGTGGAGGATCCATTTGGAGATGAATAGGAGTAATGCAGGCAAGAAGATGTAAAACCTGTCAGGGTCTTTTATTGTTACAAGCTCAGGGCAGATGGGATTTGGTGTGGATTTGACTTCAGACCTGTGTTATCAGAAAATGGACTGCTGCTGCTGCTCGGAACAGCTGCCATTTTAGCATCTGAGTTCAGGCAGGGTTTTGCAGAAAGGTCTGGTCTGGCTTCGGTGTTTAGTGCAGAGAGGAGCCATCTCAGTTATTCCTGGTATGAGGTGTTTTTATTGTCCATGTGGGGCAGAGGGTAGCAAACAGGGAGGATCGCTGGGTGAAGCTGTGGTTCAGGTAGCATTGGTGATAAGGAGTTTGCAGGGGTCACAGCAGCTCTGCCCCAGGAACAGATGGGCTGTGCTGTCTGAAATCCTTTGAGAGTAGTCTGGGTCTCGGAGACTTGAACCGGGGTGGAAATGAACCCCAGATGAGCTGGCTGCCCAGAGCCCTGCTTTGAAACACAAAAGGGATGTCTGGGACCGACAGTCACTGTGCTGATTCTCACCATGGTGTGGATGGGTGTCATCACAGAGGCAGGGGACACTGGAGCATGCTAGACCAGGCAATGCTCTGAGACCATGCCAGGAACCTGACAGTAACCAGTACCCACCCTGCAGCATTGCAGCCCTGGTCCCAGGCCTGCTGTGCATCCTGCATGAAGCCTTCACCTGCACGAGAGCAGGGTGGCTGGGAGGCTATGCACGGAGCAGACATGCTGTGCTTCGCAGGGCATTTGGCACATCCCCTGCTGCTATTTCTGCTGACAGAAGATAGGGTTGCTGGAGGGTTGAGGGGAAGCGATCACGTGCAAGCGACCTGCAGTGCTGTTACTTGTCCAGAAGCTGCAGGAGGCTGGAGGTGAGAACTCCAATCTCTTTTGCCTGGGGGCTTCTTGATGGGGGAACAACAATAACAGGCAGCAAAAGGGGTGATTTTTCTTTTGTAGAAATGTTTTAAGCAGCCAGAATAGTTCTGGTGGGGTGAGCCAGAAAAATAAATAGAAGTACTTAAACTTTGGGGTTGTAAGGCTGTTGAACTGTGAAGGACTTAGAGAGCTTACCTCATTCCCAGACACACTTCTGATGCTGTGCTCTGTCCTCCCCTGGGCCAGAACAGGCCTGGGTTACTCAGGTGTGTGCCAGCTGAGGTAGAAAGCCCACCCTGCAGGAGACGACAGGGCTAGTGTGGCTGCAAGGAGCTCTGTATGTGGCTCACGTGAGTGCTTGCTTCACTGAGGCTGTACCAGGAAGTGGGTGGATATTCAGCACCCAAAGTTCTGCCCAGTTACCTACTTCTTCCTTCAATATCTTGCCATCCCCAAGCACAAAAACCAAGCCACTTGGGAAATAACTGTTAAAATAACTTCTCTAAGAAATTATGCTTGCTCAATGAAAGGCTTAAAATTGGGGCTGTGTTACCTGTAAGCTTTTGTGTGCAGAGCAAAGGCTCTGTCCTGCAGAGAGACATTAACTGTCTTTGGGTATGTGGGTATGTGGTCTCCAGCATGATCTTCCTGTCATCTCCTGGGGTACTCATTGTGTGAGCCAGGGAATTGCCCTTCCTAGGCACTCCAGGGGCTAGCTGTCAGTTGTTTCCCTGCCTTTCTAGGAGGGAGGTGCTGTGTTCAGAGGCTTTGCTGGGAGCCGGTGCTCTGGGAGGCATCAGCTCTGTGTGTGTGGAACACGGCTTGAATGGTGGAGCTTTGAGAAGATGGAACAGAGGCTTGGGGGTGCATCCTCTTTAATATTCCTGGCTCTCATGTGCCTGACTGTGCTATCTTTGAAACTTCCTACATAGGTTTCTTTTTTTATAAAAAAATTATACTGCCATCCAAGCTCATTCCCAAGTCTGAGTGTGGTGCTCTAAAAGAGGAACACGTCTGCATCGACTGACCAGGTGGGATCAGTGGGGTTTTCTTTTATCTCTGCTCTGAGCAATCCTCAGTGAGCAGAAGTGGCTTGGGTGCGGCTTAGGGAATTGCTCCCCTTTCCAAGAGCCCAACTTAAATATGAAGCCTTTTGAGCCTCTGTCTCAGGCCCAGCTGGGAACAGGAGATGAGAGCAAGAGAAGGTCACAGGTAGCTGGTACGGCGCTTAAGCTAAAAGGCCTGCCTCAGGTACACTCGCACTGCTTCTTTCAAGTGTGTGGTTTTCATCTTCAGTGATGCAGCACAAAAGACAGAGGCTCTCGAGTCTCCCAACAAAAAGGGCTGTTGCTTTTCTTTTCACAGCTAATAACTTTCAAGAAGAAGCAACACCTCATCGTTTCCACTTAGGATCTGTGGCTGGGGGTTAATTCCTCTGTTTTCACCCTGGTAAAATGTCACTGACCCAGTGCATGGTCTGGGATCATTGCTGTTCAATGCCTTGGTCTCCCTGCATTGTCCATCTTGTGGTTTGGCACATGGTGGTCATTCCTGACCTCTTGGAATGAGGCTGTCTGCAGAAGAGCTGATGGAAGAACAGTGCTAGGGAGTAAACAAATACCAAATCATTAAAACCTTTCCAGAATATGGTGAGAGGAAGCAGGTACTGAGTCATGGCTTCCCCCATACATCTTTCTCAATGTATGTTCTGCTGGTCCCCAGCAGCATCCACGTGCATGGACAGAGCAAGTTTTGGCAGAAAGGTTGAAGTTGGCCTCTGGGCAGCGTAGTTGAGACCACAAGGCTGCCTCGACACATTGGCTTTGGTGTGGGGAATTATTTCAGTGTGTTGGTTCAGACAGGTGTGAATGACCTGCTTTAGAGGCTGGATTTCTGTTAGCAGCACAGCAGCCTGTACACTGCTAATAACCAGGATTTGAAGAATAAACAGAGAGATGCTGTGAAACACCAGTAGCACACAGGCATTTTCATCCTGTTCTCATATTCCACTCCTGCTCTCAGCAGTGGAGGTATCTTTGCACTGCTTCCTGGTGGAAAATGACCTATTAATACGAGTCCCCTTGGAGCTGCCAAAGCACTTACGTTGTGCCAGTCCCAACAGAATCACTTTCCAGAAGCAGTTAGATCTTTCACGGGATCTTGCTTTTCTCCAGATCCCAGACAAGCTGGCAAATAGGGTTTGTTAAGATGTTAAATCATCATGCCCTCAGTGTAAGATGTGATGTGCCTTTGGCTCACAAGGTATCCTTGTTGATTATTGGGGATCCTAGAGACCACACTGGGCAGAATTAGAGAAAACCCAGATTTACGCTTTTTGCTGCAGAGGTAGCTGGCATCATGCTGGGGTATTTTGGGGGCACAGCTCAGCCTCGGAGTCCATTCCATGAAGTTGCAGGAACTTAAAAAAGAGCCTGTCCCCAAACCTGTATCATGTCTGTTCTGTATCTCTGCCAGCTTCAAGCACTGTTTTATATCATCTGGAGTAAAACAGGTACATAGCAAATAAAAAGCAGGCAAGGGAGAATGTAGGCCCCCTCAGGAAACTCTCGGGAGAACTGGCTACACAGGATTTGGAGAAGGCTGAGGTTCTGAATGACTTCTTTGCTTCAGTCTTCACTGGGAAAGGCTCTGACCAAACCACCCAAGTCTTGGAAGGCAGACACAGGGACTGTGAGAATGAAGGCCTTGGGCCCACTGTAGGAGAGGATCTGGTTTGAGACCATCTTAAAAATCTGAACGTGCACAAGTCCATGGGTCCAGATGAGATCCATCCACGGGTCCTGAAGGAGCTGGAGAATGAAGTTGCAAAGCCGCTGGCCATCATATTTAAGAAATCATGGCAGTCAGGTGAAGTTCCCAATGACTGGAAAAAGGGAAATATAACTCCCATTTTCAAGAAGGGGAAAATGGATGACCCGGGGAATTACAGACCAGTCAGTCTCACCTCTGTGCCTGGCAAAATCTTGGAGCAGATTCTCCTGGAAGGCATGCTAAGGCACATGAAAATCAACAAGGTGCTTGGTGACAGCCAGCATGGCTTCACTAAGGGGAAATCCTGCCTGACCAATTTGGTGGCCTTCTATAATGGGGCTACAGAACTGATGGACAGGGGCAGAGCAGTTGATGTCATCTACCTGGACTTGTGTAAAGCGTTCGACACTGTCCCACACAACATCCTTGTCTCTAAATTGGAAAGACATCAATGTGATGGATGGACCACTCGGTGGATAAAGAACTGGCTGGATGGCTGCACGCAAAGAGTTGCGGTCAATGGCTCAATGTCGAGCTGGAGACCAGTAATGAGTGGTGTCCCTCAGGGATCGGTGTTGGGACTGGTTTTGTTCAACATCTTCGACGCTGACACGGACAGTGGGATTGAGTGCACCCTCAGCAAGTTTGCCGATGACACCAAGCTGTGTGGTTCGGTTGATACGCTGGAGGGAAGGAATGCCATCCAGAGGGACCTGGACATGCTTGTGAGGTGGGCTGATGCCAACCTCATGAAGTTTAACCATGCCAAGTGCAAGGTCCTACACCTGGGTGGGAGCAATCCCAGGCACAGCTACAGGTTGGGCAGAGAAGAGATTCAGAGCAGCCCTGCGGAGAAGGGATGTTGGTTGATGAGAAAATGAACATGAGCTGGCACTGTGCGCTTGCAGCCCAGAAAGCCAACCGTATCCTGGGCTGCATCAAAAGGAGCGTGACCAGCAGGTTGAAGGAGGTGATCCTGCCCCTCTACTCTGCTCTTGTGAGACCTCACTTGGAGTATTATGTACAGTTCTGGTGTCCTCAATATAAAAAGGACATGGAACTGTTGGAACAAGTCCAGAGGAGGGCCACGAGGATGATCAGGGGACTGGAGCACCTCCTGTATGAAGACAGGCTGAGGAAGTTGGGGCTGTTAAGCCTGGAGAAGAGAAGGCTGCGTGGAGACCTCATAGCAGCCTTCCAGTATCTGAAGGGGGCCTATAGGGATGCTGGGGAGGGACTCTTCATTAGAGACTGTAGTGATAGGACAAGGGGTAACGGGTTCAAACTTAAACAGGGGAAGTTTAGATTGGATATAAGGAGGGAGTTCTTTCCTGTTAGGGTGGTGAGGCACTGGAATGGGTTGCCCAAGGAGGTTGTGAATGCTCCATCCCTGTCAGTGTTCAAGACCAGGTTGGACGAGGCCTTGGGTGAGATGGTTTAGTGTGAGGTGTCCCTGCTCGTGACAGGGGGGTTGGATGATCTTAAGGTCCTTTCCAATCCTAACTATTCTATGATTCTATGGTGCTTACAGGAGTGGGGAGAAGTCCAGGATCTCTTGTTGAAGGTTATCTGCTGGTTGAACAGCAGGAGATAGAAGGGTTTCCAGGTAGAGCTGCTTATGAGAAATAAAGGCATGGGAAATAAATCCTCTTTCCTTTGCAGGTCGGAGGCTGCTGAGTTCTCACTTACCTCCTTTGTTTTCTTTGCTTTATAGAAATAAACCAGAGGCAGTAGAAGTAACATTTGCAGGTAAGCTCTGTGGCTCTCTTGTCTTCTCTGAAAAACAGGGCTGGCTTGAATGGTCTGCCTAAATTACAGGCTGGTGTGCCCAAATTCACCCAGCACCACTGCAGGGGCAGGAGAGCTGTTCAGGGGCAGATGGTGTGGACACCCTGCAGCATCCCCAGAGCTGGGGCTCTGTTGGCTGCCCCACTGTTTTCTCTGCCTATCTGCCTTCCCTAGGACTTTCCCCACAGCAATGAGTTCAGTGGTGGCAACAGTTTGTTTGCTGTGCAGTCTTCTATTTTACCTTGCCTGTTCTTCAGTCCTGACCTTGATGCTATTTGTTATCAGGTCTTTAGCATCATTTGGTTTGGGTTGTTAGAAAGCTGTCTCAGGGTGGCAGACAAGATGAATTCAGTGCCTGAAGTTTGCTCTCCAGGATGAGAAGTGCCAAGGAAGTTCAAGTGTTCATTCACCAGCTGATTTTTTGCTTCCGTTATCAAGAATCTGTGTAAGCTGCAGAGCTCCATAAGGAAGGCAGCTGGAGGGTTGCCTTTCCCTGCCTCCTGCCCTCCCTACCCATTCTTCAGTAAAGTGGAAGCTGTCTCAGCAGACAGTCACTGAGCTGCCTTTGCTGGCAGAGATGTTTTTTCCTCCAGGCTGCATCTCTGGCCTGGTGGGCATGTCAGTCACTTTATGTGCTGGCCATCCAGAAGGCTCCTGTCTCTGTATGTTTGTATCCTGTGTGCGTTGAGCGCAAGCGGATGTGTCAGGGACGGTAAATGACACTAGACTAAAGCTCTCTGTGATGGACAGGTGTCAAAACTGTTTCAGCCCTTTGAGTGATACCAGGTCTCCCTACATGACAGTACCACTTTCTTTAATTATGGGTTTCTCTCTTGCTATATGTGTGAGGGCTGGAGTGGAGGGAACAGTATTGCTTTATGCAGTTCTTAGAACATGTAGAGAAAACCTTCCTCAGAAATAGGAACCGGTTCCTTTTCCCTCATGTTTCTCTTGCTTGCTTCATAGACTTTGATGGAGTCCTTTACCATATTTCAAACCCCAATGGAGACAAGACAAAAGTGATGGTCAGTATTTCTCTGAAATTCTACAAGGAACTCCAGGAACACGGTGCTGATGAGGTGAGTGAACATCTCTGGGCCTTGAGCCTGTGGATCCTGTCTTACCATGGGCAGTGTTCTTGCAGTGGTGATGGATCTCATGTCTAACCCATAGAGAAGCATCTCTGTCTAACCCATAGAGAAGCATCTGTGCTCCCATCTCATGCTGGTGAAGGGAGCAGCCCTGTGCTTCGAAGACAAGGGCAGAGTGTGTGCACTCTCTCATGAATATGAAATTATCTTATATGACCCTGCAGCCTGAAGGGCGAAAGGTGCCATTAATTTTGGAAGTCTAAACGAGTGTGAGAGCTGACCATATAGGATTACTTTCCCTGACTGATGTGCCGAGCCCGCAAGGGAAAGGATGGCACCAAGACCAGTCGGGAGACACGTGGCACTGCTCTTCTGACTCTAACCACACTTGAGAGCAAGTGATGGGCTTCTTCTGCATGTGCAGACCTTGATCTGCAGATTGGTTCCCTTTTTGCTGCTGCTGTGAGAAGCAGCAGGTTCAGTTCCTGTTGAATGGGCTGGGGTTGCAGAGAGCCATTTATGGTAGAAAGTAGGAGCCTCTCTGAGCTGTGGTTGGGTGGCGGGGCAGGAAGTGTGACTCAGTTCCTGAGTCAGTTTTCAAATCTTCGCATGGTAGCAAAGGGGGTTCACCAAGGCTCTTCAGCAGGGTTTTGCCTCTGGGTTTCTGCTCTGGGAGGAAAACAAGGGAATGCTCCATGAGTTTATCCTGAGTCTGGTGAGAAACACCAGAGGTGATCTGAACCCAGAGTTAATTCCTGTGAGTTGCTGCAAGGACTACAAACATCAGAATAAACTGAGTGTCCTGCTTTCCTGGTTCCTCTGTGCAGAGCTTTTGAGGAGCAGCATTGCCTGTTTCAGAAGGTACTGCTGTTCAGTGAGGGTTGGTCTGGTGTGTGATCCTAGGAGAACTGTGTGTGTGACACCACTGTGCACCAGCAGCCGTTGTGGTGGTGGTGGAAGGCAACTTTGCAGGC